CCAAGTAAATCTTTCCCCTCCATTCGAAGGTCAATGGTTTGTACATGCCCAAGGAAGACTTTGTAAAACAGGGTCCCAGACAGAAAAAGCCCCATGAGCACAGCACAGGATGGAGGTCTCCTTCATGTTCAAAGAAGTACAAACTGCTCATCTCTAACTCATTCAGAGACCTCAACAGTCTGAGCCACTCAATGTCAGCCCAGCACACCCACATACGACCAGTGCGAGTTAGCCAGTGGGAGCTGAGCGAGCTGAGAAACGTGTGCATCCGTCTGTAGACACAGAGCAAGAAAGTTCAGTGAGGGAGATTAAGGTAACCTCAGCCATCCCGTCTCTCCTTCAGTAAGAGATTACCAGAATAAGACCAACATAAAGAAGGCACAGTATGGACCCAAAGAGTAAGAAGACTCTCTCTCTGATCATTATTTTCCACAAGTAACTGTTGATAAGTAGAGAAAACATCTTGGTAATATTCAAACAGTTGTAAAAATGGTAATATTCAAACAGCTGTAAGAAAACACAATCTCTTACATCCAGGCTGCTGAGCAGAGCTGAGTAAAAGCCAGACAGATTCAGGATCTCCTCTCAGACAAACCCACACACTTCCTGCCTTCTGGGGAAGCATCCTGCGGTTTTCTTCCCCCTTCACTATGTCACTATTCTTACCAAGCTGTCCAACAGATACTTAAGGACAATCTGGCCATGCTACTAACAGTCATAAGTTGTAATTTATTACTGAAGTACGCAGTGTAACAAGGCACTGTGCTCAATGCTTTACATACACAATTTTACTTCATGCTCACAACCATATGAAGCTTTACCTCCCACGTTAATACAGACATTGCAACTGTGAGAGGATGAGTGATTGTCCAGAAGTCACGTAAGTGAAAGTATCGGGACTTAACCTAGGCTATCTGCTCTAAAGTCTATGTTCTTCATTCTGTGCTACGCTGACTCAAAGTCCAAGCCTGAGTCATCTTCCCAGCACCACTCTGCTCCCCATCTCCAAAAAAGTCCAATGGTCCAAACAGCTGCGAGAAACAAAACCGTAACTGTTACCTTGATTTCAGCCTCTCCCTGTCCACCAATCACTAAGTCCCGCACCTCATGATATCTCATGAAACCGCTGACTTTTTTCTATTCCTACTGCCACAAGTACAATTTATAAGCGTTATGAGCACGGCCAAGTCAGCCTGCTGATAAACCACCAAACAGATGAGGAAATAAGCATCCAAGGCCATGGGTCTTGTCTGCCTTAGGTGAAGTACAAGATGGAAAAAAATACAAAAAACAAATTCTAAGCAAAAGGAAGCTGGTGTGTCTATGGCAGTAGCTGGGGAAATTAACTTTAAGGCAAAAAGCGTGATCTGAGATAGTCACTACTTCATTTCACCATTTTACTTCACAGTCCTAACTTTGTATGTACCGAGTAACAAATCTTCAAAAATATATAGTACGAGTCATCAGAAATTCAAGGAGAAACTGCTAATGCTACCACCTGTAGGATACTTACTTAACACAATTATCTCAATTGAGACATTAATCAGACAAAAGGTAATAAAATAGAAATAGCTGAACACTGCAATTTACAAACATGATCCAACAACTGGAAAATGTAATTTTTCCCAAGCACACATGAAATATTTACAAAAACTGCCCATGTACTTGATAAGCCTTAAAGCAAGTCTTATATACTTTGAAAGAACTGTATCAGGCCATACCATCCAATATAATGCAATTACATTAGAAATTAATAACAAAACAAAATAATAACTAAAACCTATACATTTGGAAATAAAAACCCATGAGTCAAAGAAGAAATATGTTGGAAACTAGAAAATATTTTGAACTTAATGATGATGAACATCTACTTATGAAAACTTATGGGATATGCTGAAAGCAGTAGGTACAGGGAACCAGACATAACTTGAGATATTGCGGGTTTGGTTCCAGACCACTGCAATAAAGCAAGTCTTGCAATAAAGTGAGTCATAATCATTTTGCTGGTGGAAGGTCTTGCCTTCAGTCTGTAAAAAAGCGCAACAACTGTGAAGAATAAAGCAAAGCGCAATAAAACATGGCATGCCATGCCTGTATACCAGACCCAGAATGTTTTACATGTGAGTACCAGCCAACAAATAGCTAAGTTCCATTTTACTTAGAATCTGAGAGAACAGAGGAAACACTCCATAACTCATTTCCCTGAGACTAGTATAACCCTAATACCAGAATCTCACAAGGACTATATAAGAAAGACAAATTACAGGCCAATCTCACTCATAAATTTTTTAGGATACAAAAACCCTAAACAAAACAATAAATTCAATCCAGGAATATATAATAAAAGATAATATATCACAACCAAGTTGTGTTTTTTCCAGGAATGTGAACATGGTTCAATATGAGAAAAGTTATTCACTTCAATCATTGCAATTAAGGCAAAAAATGAGGAACAACTGGAACTCTCCTACTCTTCTGGAAAGAGAATAAACTGGTACCACTACTTGGGGAAATTTTTGGTTTTACTAGTAAAGCTGAAGATGCACACCCTGTGTTCCAGCAATTCTACTGATATACTTTTGCACAAGTGCACCAACAAAAATGTACAAAAATATCCATAGAAGCTCTGTATACAATAGAAAAGAACTGCAAACAATTAAAATGTCAGCCAATAACAGCAAAATAGCAGAATGAAAAGAATGAACTCCACCTACATGTGTCAACATTGATTAATCTCAAAAACAAGCAAAAGAAACAAGTCAGAAGATATATGTGGTATGATTCCATTTATATAAAGGTCAAAATTGACAAAATTAAACAACATTCCATTTAGGAATGTCTACATGTGTAAATAAAAATATATAGAAAAGCTTAGTGTTTTCAAGATAGTGTTTCTTTCTGACTGGTAGGGAAAAAGATTTAATTAAGGAAGTACAAACTACTAATTGGTAAAGTTCCATTTCTTAAGCTAAATGGGTTCATTTAATCTCTCTAGAAAGTACTGTATACATACTGGCCATATATACTTTCTCTGTATGTTGTATTATTATATAATAAATTTTAACTGACTCAAAAAATACCTGAAAAGCCGTTTTAAATTATCTTCTTGCTCGTCAATCTGTTTTGCTTGTGTTGCTTTTTTTAAAAAAATGCTGTTGGTAGGTAAAAGTGGTCTTTTAACTGTAATAAAACAATGATAGTAGCATCATTTAAAATTGCTATTAAAGATTATATTCTTGCGTACCCTACCCTATATAATGCACATCGACTTCTTTTCCAAAGCAACACTAAAGTGCAAAAGACATTAAGTCTTTGAAAGAAACATAAAATAGACTTTACAGACTTGCACCAATACAGCCACAACTTTTTTATACACCAACTCACCTGCACCCTGCACCTGTTAACGAAATTCTTTAAATTTCTTTTAGTGATAGCAACATTAAAAGACAAATATATTAAGTGCTAAGTAAACACTGAGATTAGGCTATCATTTAATTACGGTACATTAGATTTCCACCTTAAATTGCCAGGTGAAGTCTCAAAAGGATCTTTTTTGCTTAAGGCTCCAGCTAGGTACCTGAATTTGAACGATAACAACTAAGGTGCCTTAGGCAAACTCCGGACTCAGTTTTCAAAAAATAACAATATCCAATAAAATGTGTTTTCCAACTTCTACAACACCGTTGACAGGTATTTTTATGAGCACTCATTCTGGAATATCCCTGGCAAGGCAGGTACCAACCGGTAAAAACAAACAAACAAAAAAACAACAAACACGGAAATCAGCAGCCACAGAGCTAATGAGATTAGAGAATTCCCCCTCCTCCCCTCGCCCCAATCTCCTAGAAACAGGTTACCTTCCAGAGCCCTGGGGAGTGGAGAGCAATGGGGGGAAGATTGCAGAGGAGTTAAAAAGGACACGTGAACCATATGGGCTATAGTCAGTCAGTTGGGATTTTGCAAAACATTATCTACCCCCTCTTTTTGCTGATGGGGAAATTATGTATCAGGGGGAAGTGCACCTGGTCAGGATCTAACAGCAACTAAAATTCGTCTCCTATCCTAGCCTAGGGGTCCTTCCCC